GCCGATGCCGACGTACGGGACCACGATGGCACGGGTAATGAACGCAGTCGCATCATCATGATTCTGGGAATCATGCTGGTACGACGGCCACGGCACGACACGCACGTCCAGGGGATGGTGCACATTTAAGGGACGGTTCCACACACGAACGGTGACACAAAAACATGTCGTATGACAGGTTTTTCTGTCAGCTGGTTTCCGTCGATGTCAGGGTCGGGGTTGCGAACAGGAGCCTTTGCGTCCAGTCGTTCATGAGTACCTGGAACGGATTGGCGCTCATGACGTCGATCCGAACAACCTCATTGTCTGCGGTTCATGGGGCGATGGCGCGCCATACAACACCCGCGATTCGGTCTACCTGTGGACCCTCACGACACTGACTGGGAGGTGGGGTGTGGGAATGCAACCCCGGATCACACACCCCCTCATTCTCCTCATGGTACCCCCCCTCATCCCACCCCCCACCACCCGCATCATCATCGCCCCACCTCCCCCCACTATCCCCACCACCCGCCTCATAATCATAACAATCCACGTCTTACCCATTTCTCCCCCGCTCCTCGGCCCACAGGCACCGAGATCGATGGTGGTTCGTATGCTTTGGGCAGCGCAGCGTCTGCCAGTGCGGCTGCAACGGCAGGCGCACATTTAAGGAGGTGCGATGTTTGAAACGCACCCGAGCTATCCCGTGTAGCAGCGCACCCGACCTCACACCTCCAAGTTTTTTTGTTGATGGAGTTCGGGTTTCTGGTACGCTGGTGGTCAGATACGCACGTGCATGAGCACGCGCACAAATCATATGACCACCGCCGCGCCAGGCACCAGACCCCATCCCGCAAACATCCCGAGGTGTGGGCGGTGCTCGGGTGGATGTGCAGCTACTGGCTTACTGGACGATGGCCTACCGTGCGCCACGACCAGGTCTCATTCGCCAAGTCGCCGTTTCGAGGCGACAGGCAGCGCTCGGCAAAGGCTGGGCAATCTATGAAGGTGAGGGGTATCCTGATCGACTTCAGGGGGGACTGGTGCTGGTACAAACAAGTGTTCGGAGTGCAGGGGTGGCGGGGTGGGCCGAGCACTGCCAAGATATGTTACAGGTGTCCGTGCACTGTTGCCGATCTGCCCAAATTTGATCTGTTCGCCAATTGGCGACGGGACCTGTATACGCCCAAACGGTACTTGGAGCTTGCACGGCTTGGGGACGGCGATTTAGATTTCAGCCCCATGGCGATTCCTGGGTTTACGTGGACCTATTTACGGCCAGGCATGATGCATGCAGGGTGTCTGGGGGTTGCCCAAGAAGCGTGCGGGAATATATTGTGGGGGTTATTTCGCGAACTAGGCGGGGTGCGCTCACAACCTTTGGAGGCGCGATGTGCGTGCCAATATGAATGCCACGATAGGGGGTAATGGGGATGAATATGCTGGTGTTGATCGGGGTGATGGGGGTGAAGATGACGAGGGGGGTTGAATGATGATGCTGAGGGGGAGGAGGATGAGGATGATACTGATGATGAACATGCCTATGCTGATGATGATGATGATGCTGATGCTGATGCTGATGGTGGTGATGAGGAGGGGAAGAGCTCAGGCCACGATGGGGGGCATGTGGCCACAGGCTGAGACCAAGTTGCTCAACCTGATTGCAATTGCAGCTCACTCTATCAACATGGACCCCCCGTTCAATAAGCTGACAGTAACTATGTTTCGGAGTAAGACTTCGAAAGCTCCAAAGTTGAAGGCCAAGGCGGCCGAGAGTAGACATCTGGTGCCCGTGCTGGTGCAGCTGTTGCGAACTCTTGTGAAGTGTGACACCGTTCGTGCTTACACCAGGCTGAGAGTGGGGGTGCCAAAACATACACATCCAAATGCAAGTACGAGTTTAGATCGACCCCCACTCTCGTGCCATTGCTTCTGTTGCAGTTGCCTGTATAGGTTGAATTGCATAGAGTTTCTCGCGCGCTGCTACGCGGAGATGGCATCATGGGATTGCACGCCAGCCCGCAGCTACTGGCCGAGTACGGTCGTAAGCACCTCTTGCTGTACCGTGCCATGGGGCGCGAAGCCCTCGATGAGACGTGCTGGAGGTTGAAGCCTAAGCATCACATCTTTCTCGAGATCGTCGAGGAGGCCTCACCTGGCAACCCAGCGGAACCTAAGGGCGAAATCATTATCATCATACTCATCCCACTGCATCCCCCCCTTGACATCATCATCCTCCCCCCTCCCCGCGTGGGGAGGGGAGTGCACGACGCCCGTGGCAAACAGATGACAGAAAATTCTGTCATATGACAGAATTTTGTGTCTGACCGTGTCGTCTTTCGCCCAGGATCATTGGGAGTATTCAGATGAATCTGGCATCGGCCGTTGCGCAGAGATTGCTGAGGGGCTGCACCCTAACACGTTGCAAACCGTGCTGATCGACAAATACAGGTATTCGCACGCTGGTGTGTGATAATTGATCGTCATCTTCATCCATGGGCACCGCCACCGTTCCTTCCCACTGTCATCTCTTGTCGCCGTCTACCTCCTCCTCGCTCCTCCTCCCACGTATTCGCACAACCCCTTCGTCTGTTAATACAAAAAGAAAGAGGAGGAACTATGCGGAATTATGAAGAGTATGAGTTGACAAGATATACTGATTCAACTGAACAATTCAGGCACATCCAAGGGCCCGTGCAGGACGGAACGATGAGATGGTTATTGGCGGCGATATTCTATTTATGGGCGAGGATACGGTGGCAGATGGGGGGGGCTCATGGAGGAGTAGGAAAACGGAGGGATCGACCCCACGAAACATGCCAACGACGGCACTGCCAATCCCGCCCCCCGATATGACACGGATTACCATCAGAATGTGCATAGTAATGCATACAAGTATGCACGTGTATATATATATATGTGCATATACATATATATATACTTATATTTACATATATATGTATATTACACATGCGGTTGCATGTCGATTACATGCATACAGCTCTGCAACCGTGCATACATGATAGTATGCACTTGTACATACATGTGATTACATCAACGTATGTTTGTGTATAAACATATGTACACTATATACATAAATATAGTTGTGCATACACATATACGTGCATACCAACAATGTATATATATATATGTATATATATATACACGTACAATCATACATATATATATACATGCAAATACTTACATACTAACATATATATATACATATATATATATATGTACATATACATACATGTATGCATCATGTTACCATATGAAACGAACGCTTCCGGAATACAATAAGGGGGATCCCGGAAGTTCTATTCGGGATTCTTGCAATGACATCCATGTACTACGGGAAAACCTTCAACATACCTGATGCGACGCCTACTTGTAGGGATAGGCCCAAATTGTAGGATCGGATCCTCTGGGAAGCATCGCCCCCGAGGCAGACGAGAGTCAATTCTGTTCGTCCAATATAGGAAAGATCCCCGAATGCTTCTTTTCAATGAGATCGAGGACATCTTGGTTATCAGGAAATGAACCCGTTTTCAATTAGATCGAGGACATCTTGGTTTTCAATTAGATCGAGGGTTTTTGGAACCCGTCTGTGGAACCCGCCATGGTCCTGGCCAGCCCAGCCTCGGGCCTGGGAGCAGTGGCCTCGGCCACGCCAGGAGCCGTGCGCCCAGGCCGCCAACGAGGTGATCTCTCCTGCAAAGTGCTTTTCGCCTTGGTCGGCCTCGAGGGGGGCCCTCGCCCGTCGCAGCAGAGGGACTTCCCATGTTCTCGTACATGCTCTGGGTCTGCGTCCCCCCCCCCTCGCGTCCCATGGGTTCCCCTAGTTCCTGGGGAGTCGACGACTCATTGTGCCTGTGTGTGTGTGTGTGTTTTCTCTTCCCTCCCGAAGCCCTGCAGGGCCACGGACGGAGTTAGACAGGTCGGCGGACGGCAGACGGAGCGGGAGAAGGGTCGGACTAGGTCAGGCGTGTCCTCCTACAGGGGGATTTTGGGCGAGAAAAATAAGATATCCCTCCAAAACCCAAACCTTCTCCAAAACCTTCTCCAAAATCTCCAAAATCTCCATTTTCGAACAAATCCCAAACCTTCTCCAAAATCGCACCCTCCTGTAGAGGGACAGGCCCGACCGAAGGGTCGGAGGACGTCGGCGGGCGTCGGGGTGAGCTGCCGGTCCCGGGGAGCGGGTCCCGGGCCTCCTGCGCGGCGGCCTCGGCAAGCGCGGTGGCGGATTTTTGGACCAAAAACGCAGCAACACACCAATCACGAGATGTTGAGAAATACGCTCGAGAAAATTGTCCCCAGACTATTTGTTGTGCCTATTTTTGCATAGTCCTCCTGTCGATGGACACGCCCGATTCAAGCCTTACAGCCATCGTTGGATGAGGAACGACTGGGGCTCCCCTGGCCACGAGGGGCCGCGGCCACGAGGAGGCGTTCCCGGCTTCTAGATCTAAGGCGCGGCGCGGGAAGCCAGAGCCTTTCAGGAGCCGGAGCCCCTCTGGAGCCTTCTCTGTGCCTCTTGCCCGCAGGTCCCCCGGCTCCCAGCTTTCTGTGTGTACTGGTTCGGGTAAGAAAGCACAAGAGCGAGAGTGTCATCGAGAAGTGCGTTTCGGCGCTCTGGCGCCTCCGCTGCGCTCTGAGAGGGCCGCGCTCTGGCCCGAATTGCAGCGCCTGCCTGCCTGCCCTGGCTCCCAGACCCCCGACGTCATGATTTCGTTCGTAACGTGGGCACCCAGAGGTCTCGATCCACTCCCTGGGACCCGCTTCTCGCCGAGAATCGTTTCTGTTGCAGTCCCAGGGCCTGGCGAGGGTCCCCAGAGGCCGCAAGTTGCCCGAATTTCCCCATCCGCCTCAAAACACAACAAATTTCGTGAACAACAGCGAAACACAAAAAGGAACAAAAATCATCACCCGAGGCAGCCTGGGCCCAGGACGAGTGGGGCCTGGCCAGGGCCAAACGTGCAGGTTTTGCCCGGTCCCCCCCCCCCCTGGAGGAGTGGGCCGCGTGCACCGGGCGCCTGCGCACCGAGCGCGGGCCCGTGGACTGCCCCCCCTGGCACTACGGCTGGGCCTTCTCCCGGCTCTGAGGGCCGTGAGAAACGGCGCCGCGCGTCTCCTCCCTGCTCGAGGGCGTTCTTTGCGTTCTTCGCGCTGTGGTCGGCTCTGGCTCGGCAGTCGCAATCCCGTCTTCAGCATGCGGTGGCGTCGGTGGGCCTCTGGCAGTCGACGAGGTGGCGCTAAGTCGGCGCCCGCTGGCGTCGATTAGCGTCAATTCAGCGCTTGTGGGCGGAAACGGGGGCGCCACTTCAGAAGAGCCAGCAAAATGGCATGGGAGGCTCCCAGGAGTTGCCACCGAACTCTGGGGAGCCTCTGGCCGCCACGGCTGGATCCGCCTCGAAGTCCTTGTCACAGCGAGCCCCAGGACAGGTCCGGGGGATCGATTTTTGACCCCTGGGCCTGGGCATTCGTCCGGCGCCGCGACCAAGAAAAGCACACGGCGGAAGGTGCTTGGCGATTTTCGGCCTCCCGGGGGGGCCGGCCGCCTTTGCCGTGCCCCGGGGCCGTCGGCAAAAGTGATTCAGGATACAAAAATGGAGGCCTTCTCAGGACGGCCCGAGACAGCCTGAGAAACGACTGGTCCAGGCCCTTCAAGCAGCAGCAGCAGCAGCAGCAGCAGCAGCAGCAGCAGCGGCAGCGGCAGCAGCAGCAGCATAGCCTCCACCTCTCAGTGCTGCATGAGCCTTGGGGCACTCCACTTCGTGCCAGGGGCACGGTGGCGGATAGGGAGCAAGAGGAGGAGGAGGAGGAGGAGGAGGAGGAGGAGGAGGAGGAGGAGGAGGGAGGAGGGAGGAGGGAGGAGGGAGGAGAGAGAAGGGAGGAGGGAGGAGGGCTTTCGCGCTGCCTCGTGGGCGGCGGCCTCAGAGTTTGGTGGGTGCACTGCGGCGGAGGTCGCGAGCGCGGCAGCTGCACAGGTCTTCGAAGCTCACAGGCCAGGCGCCGACGGCAGAGCCTTCTGGATCGTGGCCATGGTTGGTTGCCTCCCACAAATCTTCTCCAGGCGAGTGCACTCGCTTATGAGCCTGGAAGCGTGCACCCAATACACAATCTGCGTTCGATCATGATATTGCATCTTACCCGTTGCATGTCACGTTCGGTTGGTCACGCCTTGCCTTGAAAGTTGCGAACACGTGAAGAACAGCACACATTCTAAGAAAAAGAGGCGGAGGAGGGGGAGGAGGAGGAGTAGGAGCTGAACGCGCAGGTTGAGGGGGATGAGGGGCAGGGGGTGGAGTTGGAGCGGAGGGGACGATGAGGATGAGGATGGTAATGGGATGATGACGGTGCTTTGTTCTTGATGGCGGCAACGCCGATGTCGATGCTGTTGGTGATGAGGAGTATGATGATGATACTGTTTCTGCTGCTGATATGATGATGAGGATGAGGATGAGGATGATGATGGCGATGGTGATGACGATACTGATGCTGACGATGATGATGGCGAGTGAGTGTGATTATGATGGTGATGGTGATGGTGGTGGCGGGCATGATGGAAATACTGAAAACAGTGGCGGTGGCGATGCGGTTTAGATGAGATGAGGATGATCATGATTCATGTTGATGGTGGTGATCATCATAATTTTGTAATGTTGGTGATGATTAGGCGAATGATTATGATGGTACTTGTGCTGGTGAGCATGGCGATGCGTATGATGAGACTGTTGCTGATGATGATGATGATGGTGCTCATGCTGCTGCTGACGAGGATGATCCTGATGGTGCGACGCAGATGCTGTTGATGCTGATGATGATGGTGATGATGATGATGATGATGATGATGGCGATGATAATGGCGATGATGGTGGTGGTGGTGGTGGTGGGATGATGATGATGATGAAGATGCATATGATGATGCTGATGATGATGATGATGATGATGATGGTGGTGATGGTGGTGGAGGTGTTGGTGATGCGATGATGACGATGATCCTGATGATGCTGATGCTGATGGTGATGCTGATGATAGGGATGATGATGATGATGATGATGATGATGATGATGATGATGATGATGATGATGATGCAGCTGCTGCTGCTGTTGCTGCTGATGATGATGATGATGATGATGATGATGATGGTAGTGGTGATGATGATGATATGGGTGATGGTGGTGGTGATGATGGTGGTGGTGGTGGCGAGGATGATGCTGCTGCTGATGATGGTGATGGGTGTGGTTGTGAGATGATGATGATGATGCTGATGATGCTGATGATGATGATGATGATGATGATGATGATGGTGATGATCATCATGATGATGAGGAGGAGGAGGAGGACGAGGAGGAGGAGGATGAGGAGGAGGATGAGGAGGACGAGGATGATTGTGAGGATGATGATGATGATGATGCGGAGGAGGAGAATGAGGAGGATGGGGGACCAGCTGGATGAGACGTAGGAGCAGCAGGTGGAGAGGTGACAGATCGCAGGGGGGAGCGTTCGGGAGAATGAGGGAACAAGGGCGTGGGGTGACGGCCCGGACCTCCAGCGCTCTGGAATCAGCTTTGGACGGCTGGATGCTACAGGTTGTCGGCACTTGCGGGGGCCGTTCGCTCCTGGTGGCGCCGAGCGGGCGATGAGAATCTCGGGAGCGCGGCGCACGCCGCGGGGCAGGGGCGCCGAGGGATCCGGCGGCCAAGCGGTGCTCCCAGCAAGCTAGGACGCCAGGAGTTCCAGGGAGGAGGGGGAGGGCGAGGATGTTGGGGGCATTGTCGAAGAAGGCACAACGCTAGAAACAGAAACCTAGACTTTTGTCGCTCCGCGCGGATTTCTTGGATCCGCGCGGGCCCCCCCCCGGCGGCGCCTCCGGCGCCGCCCCTGGCGCTGGCGCGCGGAGCGCGCCAGGGAGGGGGCTCCAGCGCCGATCCGAGAAATCCGCGCGGACCTCCGAGTTTTCGTGTTTATGTCATTCTTGGTACTGGGCTCCCAGGGAGGGAGAGGGCAGGGGAGAGAGCGCCAGGGAGGGAGGGGGCAGGGGAGAGGGGGAGGGAGGAGGAGGAGGAGGAGGAGGAGGAGGAGGAGGAGGAGGAGGAGGAGGAGGAAGGACAGGGGGCCCGGCGGAAGAGGGAGACGGGCCAGAAGGACCTGCACGGGTCGGCGCAGGGGTGGCGCCCCGAGCCCCTTTCTTGCGGGTCCGGCTGCTTCCAGCCGATCGTGGGTCTTGGGGGGGGAGCCTCGTGGCAGCCTCCTCCGTGGCCGTCCCGGGGGGCCTCTCGGGACGCCTCGGGGCCACGTCGGGCCGTCTCGGGGCAGTCTTTGGGGCCGCGCTGCGTGCATCTTGGGCACTCTGGGCGGCCTCGGTGGCCTGCCCGGGCCGTCTCTTCGGCAGCAACGCATGCGAGCCGAGTGTACCCTTCGACTAGCGTCGATCCAGCGTCGATTCGCAGGAGCCGACAAGAAGATGGTATGGGAGGCTCCCATGAGTTGCCACCAAACGTCTCGTGGAGGCCGTGGAGAGCGCCCGTGGAGACCTTTGGTGGAGGCCTCGGGAGGGCGGGAGGGGGGCGGGGCACGCAGCTGGACACGCGGTCAGGGGGGGCCCTTAGAGACGACTCGCACCAACCCTGTCAGGCAGCACTCGGCATTATACCACGCCTCGTGTGAGCGACGAAGAAAACCGGGGTCCTCTGCGCCGACGTTGGCGCGTAGGCTGCCCGCGTACGCTCGCGTAAGCGCCCTCTTCTCCAAAGCAGCGTGCCGCGACGGCGGTCCACGTACGCCACCGCGTGAGGTCGCTACGTCATCTCGCGTAAGACCCGCTTTTGGTCGTCGCCCATGTGAGCGCTTTTTGAAATCATTGTTTCGCCGATCGGCGCGGGCACTCGCCCCCCCCCCCCCCCCCGGAGTAGATCTTGGCTGTCATTGGCGCCTGTTTCGAGCAGCTGGAGTGTCTCCCTCATTGGACGCACTGCTGCCAACGGTGGCACGAAGCAGAGGTCTGGAGCCAGATCCCGCCCCCTCCCCCCTTCCTTCCTTCCGCCCAATGTCGAAAGGTCGAACAAGAAAACGTCCACATTCTGCCACGCCTCATCGTGCCAGGCAGGGCATGTTGGCGGGTTTGCGTCGGCCTCCTCGTAGCCGTCGATGTCGCTCGTCCTTTCTGCCCTCTCCCGCCTTCTTCCTTCCGTTCCTCCCTGTGGCAGGGCGCAGTGGTATTCCGAGCGGAGCCCGTGCAACGCAGGCAGGAGGAAGGGTTCGAGGGCGAGCCCAGGGGGGGAATCGAGAGGGGACAGGCCTTCTTTGGAAGGCGGCGGGGCTTCTCAGACACCATCGTGCCTCACACACGTCTTCGGGGACGGCGCAGAAAACCTCCCAGGAGTCCTGAGGCCGCCCGATCCCTCTGAGAAGGCCTGCCCCCTCTGCTCCTCCTCCTCCTCCTCCTCCTCCTCCTCCTCCTCCTCCTCCTCCTCCTCCTCCACTCCATCTCCTGATAGACAACTCCTCCCTGTCGCACCCCGAGGCAAGTTTTTTGGGCGGGCCGGGCGCTTCACCTGAGACCTCCCGCCATTTATGATTCTGAAGCCTAAAAGTGACAACAGTTTCACCAATGGAGGGCGGGTCGCTTTCAAAATGTGGCTCTCGCCTTAGCGCCGCGCAAATTCGCTTTAAACATTTGCAAGAGCTTCACGGATTGAGGGCGGCTGGTTTTCAAAGTGCGGCTCTCGCCTTAGCGTCGCGCACATTTGATTTTAAGCCATTGCAAGAGCTTCACGGATTGAGGGCGGGTGGTTTTCAAAATGTGGTTCTCGCCTTAGCGCCGCGCACATTTGTTTCAAACATAACGGATTGAGGGCGGTTCTTTTTCAACATGTGGCTCTCGCCTTAGCGTTGGGCACAGTCGTTTTCAAAATTAACAAAGGTTTCAGGAGTTCTCAGGATCAAAATACCAGAAGTGGCGTTTTGGAAGGATTCAGGATCATGCGGGGGCAACAGTCATGTTGATTCGCGGTGTTGAAGTCCCAAGAATGGCGCTCTGGCACGGTACCATATCGTCAACATGTAGCAGTCACATTGATACGTGGTGTTGAAGTCCCGAGAGCCTTGTGTTGGCATGCTTCAGGATCTTCAAACGGTTGCTTTCCAACGAGGCAGTTCCCTCAATGGAATTAAACCGTTGTGAGGCCTATGAACAGAGAAGGGGCAGGGAGGGTTACTTCTTACATCGTTGCTGACTCTTGGTTTTCACTGGTCCTCCTCCTCCTCCTCATCCCCCTCCTCCTACTCCTCCTCATGCTCCTCCTCCTCCTCCTTCTCTTCCTCCTCCGCCTCCT